GTTTTCCACTAGGCGAAATTTTTCGACCGAATCGAAATTTCTCTTTGTTTCATGAGCTGTCAAGCAGAACTAATTGTAAAAAGACAAAGAGAAATTTCGTTTCGGTCGAAAAATTCCGCCTCGTGGAATCCGGCCTTTATGTGCAAAATCTCAGTATTCGACCGAATCGAAATTTCTCTTTGTTTCATGAGCTGTCAAGCAGAACTAATTGTAAAAAGACAAAGAGAAATTTCGTTTCGGTCGAAAAATTCCGCCTCGTGGAATCCGGCCTTTATGTGCAAAATCTCAGTATACCGAAATTTCTCTTTGTTTCATGAGCTGTCAAGCAGAACTAATTGTAAAAAGACAAAGAGAAATTTCGTTTCGGTCGAAAAATTCCGCCTCGTGGAATCCGGCCTTTATGTGCAAAATCTCAGTATACTTTTTGTGCAAAATCTCAGTATACTTTATGTGCAAAATCTCAGTATACTTTATGTGCAAAATCTCAGTATACTTTATGTGCAAAATCTCAGTATACTTTATGTGCAAAATCTCAGTATACTTTATGTGCAAAATCTCAGTATACTTTATGTGCAAAATCTCAGTATACTTTATGTGCAAAATCTCATTATACTTTATGTGCAAAATCTCAGTATACTTTATGTGCAAATTCTCAGTATACTTTATGCGCAAAATCTCAGTATACTTTATGTGCAAAATCTCAGTATACTTTATGTGCAAAATCTCAGTATACTTTATGTGCAAATTCTCAGTATACTTTATGCGCAAAATCTCAGTATACTTTATGCGCAAAATCGCAGTATACTATATGTGAAAAATCTCAGTATACTTTATGTGCAAAATCTCAGTATACTTTATGTGCAAATTCTCAGTATACTTTATGTGCAAAATCTCAGTATACTTTATGTGCAAAATCTCAGTATACTTTATGTGCAAAATCTCAGTATACTTTATGTGCAAAATCTCAGTATACTTTATGTGCAAAATCTCAGTATACTTTATGTGCAAAATCTCAGTATACTTTATGTGCAAATTCTCAGTATATACTTTATGCGCAAAATCGCAGTATACTATATGTGAAAAATCTCAGTATACTTCATGAGCAAAATCTCAGTGTACTTTTTGTGCAAAATCTCAGTATACCTTATGTGCAAAACCTCAGTATACTTTATGTGCAAATGCTCAGTATACTTTATGTGCAAAATCTCATTATATACATTATGTGCAAAATCTCAGTGTACTTTATGTGCAAATTCTCAGTATACTTTATGTGCAAAATCTCAATATACCTTATGTGCAAAATCTCAGTATACTTTATGTGCAAATTCTCAGTATACTTTATGTGCAAAATCTCAGTATACTTTATGTGCAAATTCTCAGTATACTTTATGTGCAAAATCTCAGTATACTTTATGTGCAAAATCTCATTATATACCTTATGTGCGAATTCTCAGTATACTTTATGTGCAAAATCTCAGTAATATACTTTATGTGCAAAATCTCAGCATACTCTATGTGCAAAATCTCAGTATAGTTTATGTGCAAAATTTATTCTTTGCCAGGCAGTATTATATTATTTTGAACTAATAGAGTTCAAAACAAAGGTCGAAGTAAAAAATTTATTAGCTAACGTTTTCCAGTCTGAAATGGAAAATTTTAAGAAAACTTTTTCTTCCAATGGTTATCCTAAGGCACTTATAGATAGTTGCATTAAGACAGTTCTTGACAGGATTTACAACACCAAGGATAAGGTCCATACATGTTCCAAGAAAATTGTGTACTTTTGCCTTCCTTTCACTGGACATCATGGTCTACATATCCGTTCACAACTTAGTAAAGTTCTTGCTTCTGCTTATCCACATATTTCCATACGTGTTGTCGCCTTTCTAGTTTCTTTCCATTTAAAGACAGGATTCCCATTGCCCTGAGATCACATGTTGTGTATCAGTTCATGTGTCAATGCTGTAGCGCATTGTATGTTGGCCAAACACGCCGACGTGCACACACGTATCTCAGAGCATATGGGAGTCTCGCCTTTGACTGGAAAAGAACGCTCTATCTCAACCATGTCTAGTATACTCGCTCACAAACACATGCACAAACACCCAGTCTCCGCTTCTGATTTCAAAATCCTATCATCAGGCACTTCTGAGTGGGATCTTCTTATCCGTGAAAGCCTATTAATATCTCAACTTAACCCTGTCCTTAATGCTAATATTAGATCTACCCCTCTTGAGTTATTTTAGTTATGTAATATTAACCTTAACTATACTAACCATACATTAATCTTTACTTATTAACTAGTCACTGATAAGTTGTTTTCTTTTCTTTCGATTCATTTGTTCTTTCAAACTATGTAACCGTTTTTGTAATATTAAACCATTATTTTGTAAATATATATACCATACCCTGTAAATTCATTTAGATTGCTCTAAAGATGTTGTATTGTAAACAACGAAACGTTAGCTAGTAAATTTTTTACTTTTATTATGTTTTGATTTAAAGTTATTTGCTGGGCTCTGCTCTTTATCTTTAAACTAAGATTTCCGCCTGGTGTATCAATTGCCACAGTTTTAAAGGTCGAAGTATTGAAGCGACATTTTTTCGTGTCAAATACCCGTCAATTTGTGTTCGCGAATCGCGACATTTTTCTGAGACAAAACTTCTCATATTTTATAAAGGCAAGTACAATAGTCAATAACTTTGAAATGAAGTCTCAGCATTTTAATGCAATTCTGAGGTAAATTGATTGATTATATACCATATTTTATAAGAATAAGCGGTCAAAATACGACAGGGTAACGATCGACGTTATCTGAAGTGGGTGGGTGGGTACTGGTGATAACGTCGATTCGACGTGCGTAGCAACATGAATATGGACGTGGCCCCTCTATGCGTGGCCCCTTATTGTTACCACAGAATGTGACCAAAACGGGTAGCCTGTTGCCGTCAGCTTACATTTGCTCCAAGTCCCCTGTTTATATGGAAGCCGGGCTGGCCCGCTTAGGCTTAGCGGAATGAATTTTAATTGTGTTATATGAGAAACTTTCATCATCCCGCTTGCCGGGACATTTTGTTATTTTGATATTTACCAGTTTTGCCAGCAAGTTAAAAATAGCTTGTGGCGGTATCTTTGAACTTTCATTCCGGGCTAGGCCGCCTGTAATGACCTGTAACCCGCTCGTGAGTGTTTACTAATGGCAATTTTCCATCCCGGTAAGCGGGATCTCCCCTCTTTCAAGCGAGATCTCTGCAACCGCCCTGGCCATCCCGCTTGTTCCGTGAACACATGGTAATTTTTACTATAAAAATTACCACACGTACAGCGAAATCTCGCTTACCGGGCTGTCTCGCTTAGCCAAACTGATAGCTCGGGTACGCCAGCCCTGACGACGATTCCGTTTCGGGAACACTCAGGGCTGGAGCTACGGGGGATGTGGGGGTGGGTGACACCCCCCCCCCTCGAAATTTTATTCGAAGCTTCAGACGGCAGGACTGCTATTCTAGTCGGCAGACAAAAATATTTTTGACGAATAAAACTACTACCAATATAATTTACACCTGTTATACAAGAAAGGGAAATTATGGTTACTCAACATTTATTCAGCAGGATATAATCATTATAATTCGTTAGTAAAACAAGTCCGGATTGATAGTTGAACCATATAGCGATACAAAAGATCTTAAATGAAGTATATGTGGTATGTTTGATAGGTAGAACCGCTGAACACAATATATTCCCGCCAAAAACTCGATTATCAAATATGGTGATTTTATAGAACGGGCGCAATTTCAGGGACCGCGGAGCAGGGAGAAGGCCCCCAATAATTTTCCATACCTATGTGACTTTTATAAACTAAGAATACTGAAATCTTTCAGATCAGTTAACAATATATTTATAACTTACATAGCCAAGTATATTAGTCGTCTATTAAGAAACTTTTTAAACAGCAACTAGTAAATTTGATTGCATTTCAAAATTTCCCGGGGGAGCATGACCCCGGACCCCCATAATAAACTCACGCCTTCGGCGTTCGCTATAGTCCCCTTAATCCAAAAATGGCTCCGCGCGCGGTCCCTGAATTTAGTTGAATTGCATCAGAAATTTTACAAGCTTCCATGGCTAGCATGTAGTCGGTACAAGCTCGTTCGTCAGTCGGTTGAAATGACCTTACACCCCCCTGAAGAATTTTCTGAAGACGGCCTGGGAACACTGTATGAGTCCACGGTAATGGCCAGTCGATGAACTACAATGCTCGATTTATTCTTTGATTTACATGAAGTTGCACCGAGAATTTGCACATACTAAAGTAGGCATGTACTAAAACCCGAAACAACCGGAACGAAACCACCGGAACCACCGGAACGACCGGAACAAGAATCGGAAATGACCGGAACAACCGAAACCAAAATCGAACACGATCGGCAGGGATGCCGGAACTGGGGGGGGGGGCGGGGGGGCAGGAGGGGCAGCCGCCCCCGTTGCCCTTTACTAGGAGGGGCAAGGGGGGGGCAAAGGTGCCCTTTCAATTCAAATGATTGCCTTGGCGAAATAGCGAATTGTCAGAAATGTTAGTGCAATTCTTTTACGAATTTGCTTCAGAAAACGCAAGAAATGCAGTCATTGAGCTTCACGAATGGCCGAATCGCCTGGCGGAGAACCCCTCACACCCCTATCATCTAATAAATGGAAAACATGATCAGGCGAAGTTCAATTCCCTTTCTTTTTTGCAAACATCTCTTTGTATATATCAATTCAAAAGTACCCTTTCACGAAAATCTGCCCCCCTTGCCTTCACATCGTTCCGGCGTCCCTGACGATCGGAACGAAGTAGTAGAACACGACCGGAACGATAGTTATTTAGGTCTCATACAGACAGTATATCTAAATTAAACATCTAAAATTGGCTACTACTTCACGGATTTTAATAGTGAGCATGAGAAAATCACACTGTACACATCTCGCTTTTCTCTTCTCTAATTTTCTTAATATGTCCCTCGCCTTTAATACAGGGTGTATCAAAAAAAAACTGAACAGATTTAAAATTGCTCTCAATTTCGCAAAACAGCTATTTGTATCCGGTTTTTTATATATATGGCCTCTTTGGGTACTTATAATGTAGAATAATGAGAAAAATTTCTCGAACTCAAATTTTGTGGACCAGGGGGGGTGTCTTTTCCAACAAACTAAAAATGGCTCGCGCACAAAATTTAAAAGCTGCAATCATATTTTAAGTTAACAGATGGACAATTTGTCGGGATTTTAATTACTGTACAAAATTTATCTGTTCAGTTTTTTTTTATACACCCTGTAGAATTTACAAAACAATTATACGGCCTAGTTTTCGCCTGATTGAATTTAATAAACAAATTGTACTGTTTTCATGCAAATTTGAAAAGAAAATAGCCTTGTTTCGTTTAGCTTTTCCATGTCTTCTACGCTTGCCATTACGAATTTACGATAACGTAAATTCGTAAAATCGCGCGGGAAATACAAGTCGGAAGGTCAAGGAGGTGGAATTCCGTGTTCGATTTTGGTTTCGGTGGTTCCGGTCTTTTCCGATTCTTGTTCCGGTCGTTCCGGTTGTTCCGGTGGTTTCGTTCCAGTTGTTTCGGGTTTTGTATAGTACATGCCCATAAAGTACACTGAGAATGGAATTCCGTGTTCGATTTTGGTTTCGGTGGTTCCGGTCTTTTCCGATTCTTGTTCCGGTCGTTCCGGTTGTTCCGGTGGTTTCGTTCCAGTTGTTTCGGGTTTTGTATAGTACGTGCCCATAAAGTACACTGAGAATTTGCCCATAAAGTACACTGAGAATTTGCCCATAAAGTACACTGAGAATTTGCACATAAAGTATGCTGAGAATTTGCACATAAAGTATACTGAGAATTTGCACATAAAGTATACTGAGAATTTGCACATAAAGTATGCTGAGAATTTGCACATAAAGTATACTGAGATTTTGCACATAAAGTATACTGAGAATTTGCCCATAAAGTACACTGAGAATTTGCACATAAAGTATGCTGAGAATTTGCACATAAAGTATACTGAGATTTTGCACATAAAGTATACTGAGAATTTGCCCATAAAGTACACTGAGAATTTGCACATAAAGTATGCTGAGAATTTGCACATAAAGTATACTGAGATTTTGCACATAAAGTATACTGAGAATTTGCACATAAAGTATACTGAGATTTTGCACATAAAGTATACTGAGAATTTGCGCATAACGTACACTGAGAATTTGCACATAAAGTATACTGAGAATTTGCACATAAAGTATACTGAGATTTTGCACATAAAGTATACTGAGATTTTGCACATAAAGTATACTGAGAATTTGCACATAAAGTATAATGAGAATTTGCACATAAAGTATACTGAGATTTTGCACATAAAGTATACTGAGAATTTGCACATAAAGTATACTGAGATTTTGCACATAAAGTATACTGAGAATTTGCACATAAAGTATACTGAGAATTTGCACATAAAGCATACTGAGATTTTGCACATAAAGTATACTGAGAATTTGCACATAAAGTATACTGAGAATTTGCACATAAAGTATACTGAGATTTTGCGCATAAAGTATAATGAGAATTTGCACATATAGTATACTGAAAATTTGCACATAAAGTATAATGAGAATTTGCACATAAAACCCGTATAAAGAGTTATTTTCAGTGCTTACTTTGAGCATTAATTTCAGTACAATATGTGTATGTTTCAGCATAGGCTGTATGTATTTCACATGTTGTGAAACATTGTTTTCTATACTAATATGTGCCGTAAACTTTCAATAGTGTGTTAAAGAAAAGTATGAATTTTGACAACACATGGCGTCTCATACAATTTCTTACGCTGAATCGAACGGTGGTATTTTTATCCTTATTGCGCCATTATGCATTACAAATACAAGGACAAACCTGTGGACAAACGTAGTGCGAGTGATTTGTGATCAACAATACATACTTCATGCGAGCGATTTTTCAACAATACAATTTCGCTTCATTTTCAAAGGCCATAAATCGCTAGAATACGCCAATACGGGTGTTTAGTAATACACTTGACATCCGTAAGTACAATTTCTTACGCTGAATCGAACGGTGTCGCTTTCTTCTCAAAATATAAAGCAGCGCAGTCAAACGTATATTAAAACTTTTATAAACTTGCGATTTGCGAATTGCGAAGATTGCTGTTTCCATGCGAAATTCCTTGTAAAATTGTTCAATTTTCCCGAATTTTCCTCAAAATGGAGGGCTATGTATGGATAATTTGGGTAAAATTGGCAGGAGCCTTGTGGATAATTGGGGGGAAATTAGGCAGCTCATTAATATTCTATTTTGTGGCTATCAACGACGATCGGAAAGCTGACATCCACCAAAAATGCGTGCCGAAACCTATACTTGTCTGGGGCACAGTGCCCCAGCGAGTAAATAGTTTTACAATATAGCATTTGTAAATTCTGAACGCTGATTGGCTAAGAGCCGTGTTGATATAACTCAATGTCAACACGGAAACGTCGGAAAATTTCTTTCTTTATATTTCTTTGTGTTATATTAAAAAATAAATATAATTTTGTTTTCAATATTGATATATATAGTTTTAGTATAATTACATAGGTGATTATTGAAAATTCTCCACGCTGATTGGTTGCTGTTGAGGTGATTATTACGCGATAATCACCTAAGCGATTTTCAAAATGGCGGCCAAGCCGTTTTGTCAATTAAATGACGAAGAAATGTGTATTTTTTATTTTTTCTAAATAATCACCTATGAAATTATACTAAAACAATTATTCACCTCAGGTTCGGTGATTATTGTTAATAAAAACCTCGACTTCGTCTCGGTTTTTATTCACCGCACAATTTCTCGTTTTCCCAATTTCCACTCGTGTTGATATATCAACACGGAAAATGTTTTATATTTGTTAAATATCAACACTCGTGTTATAATGCAACATTGAGTACTAATGAGCTAATAAATATTACTTAAACCCTAACATTTCTTAATATATTTGCTTTTAGTCCTATGTACAACCGGCCCTTGTGGCCAGAACGCGATGTGTAGAGATGTCCCTGATTCGTATGTATGTACCTGCCATGCTGGCTATACGGGTAACCCTGGTCTAGTCCCAGGTGTAGGATGTATAGGTGAGTATCATAGAAATTATGTAGCCCTAAAAATACGTGACAGTAAATTTCTTTTGAATAAAATACTTTTAAACTATTGCAATCCCTCAATCGCCGAATGCATTGTTTACGCGTGGTCGTATGTATGTATGACTATAGATAAGGTTGGCAGCTAAATTCCTAAATACGTAGTCCCAGAGAAATAGTACAAAAAATTTATTAAAGTGCTTATTTTTCGTTAGTTTTGGTGTTGTTTTCGAAAAGTATATGAGCTTATATACTTTTGTGTTATTCTATTTTGTGTTTTATTATGTATTTTTTAAGTTTTTGTACTCAATTTCTTCGTGCTACGTGCGTATTTAGGAATATCAAATAATAATATAGTCATACTTATGACCGCGCGAAAACATTGCAGTCGGGAACTGAGTAGTAGTAGTAATAGTTTAAAATGTATTTTATTCAACAGAAATTTATTACCACTGGGTTATACCTAGGCAAATACATGCCTGCAGCAATCCTTCAAATCGACCTATAGCTCCCCATTATTATTCCAGCACAATCCACTTTGTAATTAATTTTGAAACAAATGCAAGCGATATAAGTTTAAATTTGTTTTACGACGACGTTTCAATGCTTATTATATACATGACAAAATTACTGCAATCTGATTGGTTAAGAGGAGTGCAATTATTTCATTAATTATTTATCTTCTGTAATCAGTGGCAAATACTGCAATTTCATTGGTTTACAGGAGTGCGATTTGAGCATTAATCGCACCTTTTCTGAGCTGTAATCGCACTCTTGTCTACAGCCAATGAAAATCAGTCTAGTATTTACACTAGCCAATCAGCACTCAGGATACAAACTTTGAATTTTATTTTCTTTATTGCTGTAAAAAATTTCAAAATGGAGGAATTCACAAATTTTGCCCTTTTTAATTTTTAAATCAGCCCTCGAAAACCGTCAAAATTGAGGTCGGAAAAAAAATGCCGACCTAAATCTGACCTATCTCGGCATTTTTTAAAATCTGTTTCCATGTCTTGGAGCACTAGTAATCACGTATTTACGAATCATTGAAAAGTATAAATGTCACGAAGCCTTTTCTTTTAGAGTTTTACCTAAATTATAACATAAATATACCCGTTAATTCTTAAACCTTACACCAAAGTGCATCGAATTAATAATCGCTGACTTTTTAACAACTATAAGAACCAAAAAGATTCTTACTTTGGCTGAATTAAGGTCGGCAAAACATTGCCGACATGGGAGGTTGATAGGTCAGCATTTTAATACTGAAGGTCGGCATTGCCGAATGCCGATCTCGTTTTCGAGGGTTGTTAAATTATATATTTTCTGACGAAAATGAC